TCCAATTCCTAGTTTCCTATACAAAGACAATGACATTAAATTTATACATGCGCCAAGATCGCATAAAGCATGTTCAAAATATCTAGCTCTTATGGTACAAGGTATAGTAAAACTCCCTGGATCCTTGAGCTTAGGGGGCAATTTATTCTGTAGAAGTGCGCTGCACTCTTCAGTTAACATCACAGTTTCATAATCCTCCAGCTTCCTCTTGTTAGTGAGAACTTCCTTCATGAATTTTGCGTAGCTGGGCATTTGTGCTAGAGCATCCGCGATAGAATGTTGATATGCATCTTTTTAAACACTTCAATAAACTTAGAGAACTGTTTTTCTAGTTTATGTTTATACAGTCTTTGCGGGAATGGAATTGAGGGTACCTATTCTCTGATAGGAGCTGCCGCCTTAGCCTGTGGTATGTCTGAATTCTCCTTCAAATTTTTCTCAGCTGACTTTTCAGATCCTTCCACTTGCTCCTCATCTGAAGTAGGCACTTTATTTGTCTATGCTACTGGTCTTTTTACAGTAATTTCAGGCAGTTGTATCCCACATCTTGTTGTAATTGCTTGCACCTGTCCTTCTTGGATTAGTTTCTGTATTGCTAGGTAGGGCTCCTTGTGGTCTTTCTGAGATAGTACGTGCCAACTGACCTATTTGAGTTTCCAACCCCTTTATGGCTGCTGAATGATTTTACAATGTTCTTTCAATCTTTGTCATATACTGGTCGATCTTTTGTATAAATTTACCCAAGATATCTTCTAGAGATGATTTTCTCTCTTGCTGTTGAAAACCATGGGGAGGTTGCTGTTGATTATTTTGGTTGTTACTCCAAGAAAAGTTAGGGTGATTACGCCAACCTTTGTATGTATTGTTGAATGCATTATTTTGTTGGCGTTGACAATTTTGTGCATAGTTAACTTCCTCCATCTCTTGAGATGAAATGTGGCATTCCCCACTATTGTGAGCTGTACCACATATACCGCAAATCAAAATTTTTTTTGCACTGCTTTTGCTGAACCTTTCGTAGTCAAATGATCTATAACCTTCTTTTCCAATGCTGACATCTGTGCTGATAATGCCGGAAAGCATCCACCTCATGTAGACCTCCGTGCTTCTTATGTATGGATCTTTCGGAAGGCCATAAAGCATTGTTGGCAGCCATCGTCTCATATAATTCTTGGACTTCATTGGGTGACTTTAATGTAATAGATCCATTTGAGGTTGCATCCACCGATATACGACATACTAAGTTTAAGCCAACGTAGAACTACTGAACTTGCAAAATTTTTCTTAATACATTGATTAGGACACTTCCTGATCAAATCCTTAAACCTTTCCCATGCTTCGTGAAAACTCTCTAATTCGCTGAAAAGTGGATATCTTGTATCTTATTTTAGTTACTCTCGATAGTGGAAAGTATTTTGTGACGAATTTTTGTACAAGATCATTCTTGGTCCTAATGCTTCCAACGGGTAGGGCATCCAACCATTCTCTTACTCCATCTCTAAGTATATGTGGGAAGAGTCTCAACTTGATTGCTTCATCAAATTCTCCATGAAAATTGTAATTTTGGTAGATGTCCAAAACGCTTGAGATATGATTGTGTGGATTCTCA